GCAGGGCAAGCACCCGCGCACTGGTCTTCCTCTGCCCTTGGCCAGTGGCCAGGTTAGGCCTCGGCCGTTCGCGGACATCGTCCTCGACAGCCTGGCCGGTGACCTGGTAGTCGTGGACGAGGCTGCGGACGGGTTGTAGGCCCCTGGCTGCGCCTGCTGGCTCTCCCCTTTGGGGAGGTGCTCGGGCCCTTTTATCTCACGGTCTGGCTTGCGCCCGAGCCGCTTAGCTGTGCCTGCACGCTTGGCGCCGCGCCTAATGAAAAGCTCCTCCTCCTCCTCCCCCTCCTCCTCCGCCACCGGCGTCGGTCTTCGGGCCGGGCGTTGTCGCCCAGTTTCGGGTCCCAAAGCGCCAGATCGTGCAGGATCTTGCAGGGCCAGGGGCGCTTTGACCCAGGCTTGAGCGCAGGATCCTGCAGGATCTTGCAGGCGTTGACCCATGTTTGGGTGCAGGATCTTGCAAGATTTTGCAGGATTCTGCAAGGCCTGACTGACCCAGGTCTGGTTTGACCCGGGTCAGAAGATCTCCGAGAAGGAGGGGGTCCAGGATTCGGGTGGTGATACTTTGCGACGCTGCGATTCTTGGGCAACGCCAGATCTGAGGGGGCGCCGCCGGCTTGGGAGTTCCAGAGGGCCTATCGCCTTCGAGGGCCGCAGGAGTTGCCGTCGCCTCCTCGGCGGGAGGGCGGCGGCAAGGCGACGGAAGCACACAACAGGGGCAGCTCCGCCAGCGGCAGGCCGGCGGAAGGCCAGCGGAAGGACTCAGACACGGGCGGGGGGTGCGCGGGGCAGGGCGGCAGGCCCTCTCTTCCAGCACTCCTGCGGTGCAAAAGCTCGCCTGTCGTCCGCATCGCGTGTCTCCGTGGGCTCTCGCGTCGATGGCAGAGCCGATGGCGCCGCGACTGCGGCAGGCTTTCGGCTATACAGTCGGGGCGCTGAAGAAGGAACCCTTTTCGTTGGGGAGGGGCTCGGTGTTCCTTAATTGTTTTACAGCTTGCCTCAGGTGCTCCTGAGATTTTCCACGGGAAATCGAAGTTCAACTTCTGGGAAAAGGGGCCTCGTTCCTTATTTGTGGTTCCTTAGTTCAACACCCCGACGGCAGCACTTCACAGGACCTCCGGAGCCTGGCACAGCAGGGGGCAGCGCGACCAGAGGGATGCAGAAGTCGGCCCTCCCGAGAGATGGCAGGGTTGTTTTGTGGTTCAGGGGGCCTGGAACCCGCCAGCCGAGGTCGGCAGAGGTGCACCCATCCAGGCCTTCCAGAGGGGCCCACCCCCATCGGGTCAGGAACAAAAGCACGACTGGGGGCCTCTTGCACAAGTGTCAGCCCTCGGGGGCCCTCAGCGGGCCCCGGGGCCGTCCAAAACGACTCGCGATGGGAAACTGGTCCTTGGGAACGGGCCGAGACCTCAGAGGCCCACGTCAGGACATTAGCATGACGTCGGGGGTCTGGTACCCAGGCCTCCCAAAGGGGGTCCGAGCATCGGGCGGAACACGAGGGTAGGATAGGGAAAAGGGGGGGAAGGAATCTGCTGTATGCAGCTGGTTTCCGCCCCGCCGCCGGGCCCCTTCTTCGATACGTGGGCGCCTCCTGGCGCCAGGAGACGCCAGGAAAACCATCTACGTGAGATGATTCTCTACCCGACCCTTGCTACCCTACCATTTCGTCCCACCCGAAGGCAGATGGAGTCGGAGGATCGCGCCGCATCGCCGATGCATCGGCGATGCGGCCCGATGTGGGCCCCGATGTTCTCTACGCCGACGGCGCCGATGCATCGCCCAGGCCGATGCGTCGGCGGTGCATCGCTCCAGGGGGCCCCCCACTGCCCGCAGAGCACCCTTCGCGATGCCCAAATTGAGCGGAAACCTGGGGGGCGCCCTGGGCCCGGGGGCACTTTCAGCAACCCCGGCCTACCTCGCCCAGGAGCCTGCGGGTTCGTTCTCTTGTATTGCAATGTCGTTGATGAGTCTTGGGTCTGCACTGGACCTCCTCCTCCTCCTCCACTTCCCCCTCCTCCCCCTCCTCCCTCCCCTCCTCCTCTTCCTCCTCCTCCTCCTCCTCCTCCTCCTCTTCCTCCTTCTCCTCCTCTGCCTCCTCCTCACGGGGGCCCCATGTCGCCGATCTGTCGGCGGTGCACCGCCGATTCCAGGGCGAGGTCTCCTCACCTGACCCAGTCCTCCCCGATCGTTGCCCCTCAGATCGGCAGGGGTGCACCCAGATCTGCATGGAGAAGAATGTCCAGGAGCCGTTTCCACCAGGACCCGTTCCCGTCGTGCCATCCAGACCTCGAGGGGGTTCGAGGATCGAGGAGGATAAGTGTGGTTTTTCGCGTGCTCTGTCGTGCATTCGATCCACCAGAGGCTTCCAGAGAGCTCCTGAGGGCTCTGGATGCCTCAGGGTTACGGGTTCCTGCAGCTCTGAAAAATCACGCCGCAAGTCTGTCACGATGCTCGGTCTCCAGCGGGCCGTTTCCGAGCCCACGTGGCCTTCAACATAAAAAAAAATCCTTGGGCGAAAAGTTCTGTCCGGGGGAAAGGGCTCCCTCCCCCTCATTCTTCCAGATTTTCCGCACCTTTTTCGATATGAACTCTTGGGCTTCCTTGGATTACGTAAGGTCCCCATGAGTTTCGAGTGAACCCCTCCGCGCCTTCCGCGGAGGTCGGAAGGTACGGAGGGCGGAGGGTGCAGGGCTCAGAGCCCGGGGGCCGGCGGCTCGAGCCAACAAGCTTCGTCGGAGGCCCGAGGCCTGGAGACGTGCTGGCGTGGCGGCTGCGCGGGCGTGCAGGGCCGAGGCCTCTGGGGACCCCGGCCGCAGAGATCGCGGGAAGGGCCCGGGGGAGGGGGGGGGGGGGGGCGGCCTCCGCAGGCACGCTCGCGGCCATGTGGGTCTCGGTGCTGCGGGGGCGCGTGGCTCGTGCTTTCCTGCAGCGTTCGCTGTGTCGCTCTCGCTCGATGCATATCAGCAGGTTGGAAGTCCAGGAAGGCGTGGCCCGCGATATTCCCAAAACCACTGTCGAGCAACATTGCTGTGATCGTTTTCGTATTCATTGTTTTGCCGACCGGCGCGGGCCCTCGCACCCCCCTTCCCCCTCCCCCCATGGAGTAGATTTTGGCTGTTTTGGGCGCCTGTTTCGAGCATGTGGAGTCTCCGGATGCACTGCCTCAAACAGTCGCACTAAGCAGAGGTGCAGATCCAGCCTTCCCCCCCTTTCGGCCCAATGTCGAAACGCCGAGTAAGAAAACGCTAACCAGCGTACTAAGCCCAAGAGCAGTTGTTGTTGTCCATTATGAACAGACTTCGTTGTCGGCGTCGCGGTGGTGGTTGCTTATTTGAGACGCAAGGTCGCCTGGCCAACAGCGGCTGCTGCCGGTTTTGGACCACATTTGTTGTTGGGCATCGCACCCACATTATTCGTACCCATTTCGGGCGTCCACATTCTCACGTCCCCCCCTGGGCTCGCCGCCGGCGGGCGATTCTAGAAAGTCCAGTCGTCGGAGTGGGAGTTCCGTTCCGCTCACGGTGGTCAGCCTTCGCTTGTGGCCTTCTTCTCTTTTTCGAGCGAGCCGACGGCCCAGAGAGGCCCAGGCGCGAGATTGGGCCATCTCTGCATCTGGCATCTTGCCACGTGGGGCCCGTTTGTGGCAGTCATGCTTTACTTTATGCTCCCTGCGCGTGCCCTGGCTGTGGCACCCGTCTCTTACCCGCGGCACCCCGTCACTGCGCATTGGCTTGAGGCCAGCCTCGAAGAGTTCAGGAAGAGATGGGAGCTACTGTGCGGTAAGAAGAGGTAAGGAAGAGGAGGGAGGAGGGGGAAGGGGAGGGAGGAGGGGAAAGAAGAGAAAAGAAGAGGAGGGAGGAGGGGGAGGAGGCTCGAGACGAAGAAGGGGGAGGAAGAAGAGGAGATTACAGAGGAGGACGACGAGAAGGAGGCGAAGAAGGAGGGGCAGTTGCAGCAGGAGGAGGAAGATGGTGAGGTGGAGGAGGCGAAGGAAGGAAGCGGAGGGCGGGAGGGGGGGAAGGGCAGGGAAACGTGCTTGGGGGGGGCGCCGGGGGGCGCCAGTTCAAAGTCGTTGGGCAGGTTTGCTTGAAGGTTCGACCTACGTGGCGGCCTTCTGAGCGAAGCGTAACAGAGGCAGACGGAGCAGAGGGGGGAAGCAAAGGGGATGAGGCAGGAATGTGCGGGTGGAGGATGGGTGTTGCAATTGTTGAGTTGTGTTGCCCAAGCGTGATCCAGCGAGGAGTCGTGCGGACTCACAGCGTCCCAATTGGGAGTTCCATCCGTGGTAAGCGCCAGATGAAGAGGAGGTAAGCTAAGGCAAATACAAAGCGAACCAGCTGTTACACATTCTGGCGTTGCGTAGACCTGGTTGGTTTGATGAGACCTGATTTGCCTTGCAGTGCAGCGCAGGGCATGCCATTGCTATGCCTGTTCTGCGTTGCTTTTACGTGCTTGTTCTCTTTGTAGTGCATTGCGGTGCGTTGCGTTGCTTGGCAGATCGTCCCTTTGATATGCACAGCAGCGCTTTGCCTCGCTCTTCATCGCATTCGTTTCCTGATTGCTGCATTGCGCTGCGCTCACTTTGAAGGGTAGTGGTGTGGGGGGGGGGCTCCAGGAACTGCGGGGGGCAGCCCCGAGGAGCCAGGCGGGGCACCCCCAAAGAAACATGGCCTCCGACGACGGCCGACGATGCGATCGTTTTCTGATTCGTTGTTTTGCCGATCGCCGCGGGCCCTGGCACCCCCCCCTCCCCTGGAGTAGATCTTGGCTGTCTTGGGCGCCCTGTTCCGAGCAAGTGGAGTCTCCCCCCTAGGACGCACTGTCTCAAACAGTCGCGCTAAGTAGAGGTCTGGAGCCAGACCCCTCCCTTCGCCCCCCCCTTCCGCCCCATGTCAAAGCGCAGAGTAAGAAAACGTTCACCCGACAGTCCGCGATCGATGATCACGACGACCACGACGACGACGACGGCGACGACGACAACGACGACGACGACCTCGACGCAGGCGCGGATTTCTGCGCACTCGCCGCCGACGCCGACACTGTCTGGGACACCGTGCTCATCGAGGGGCCAGCGCGCCGCCCCCGAGCTTTGCCTCCTCCTCTCTCCTCCTCCTCGTCCTGCCTCCTCCTCCTCGTCCTCCTCCTCCTCCTGCTTCCTCCTTCCCTTCCTGCCTCCTCATCATCATCCTGCCTCCTTCTCCGGCCTCCTCCTCCTTCTTTCTCGTCCTGTCTCCTCCTCCTCCTCCTCCTCCTCTTCCTCCTCCGTCTCCTTATGAATAACTTCTCCCTGTTGCACCCCGAGGCCAATTTTTACGGCGGGTCGGGCGTTTTGCCTGAGAATTCCTCACCATTTATGACCCTGAAGTTTAAACATTGGCAGCTGTCTCGCAGATGGAGGGCGGGTGGTTTTCAGAAAGTGTCTCTCGCCTTAGCGCCGCGCACATTCGTTTTCAAAATTTGCAAGAGCTTCACGGATTGAGGGCGGGTTGTTTTCAAAGTGGGGTTCTCGCCTTAGCGCCGCGCATATTCGTTTTCAACGTTTGCAAGAGTTTCACGGATTGAGGGCGGGTCGTTTTCAAAATGTGGTTCTCGCCTTAGCGCCGCGCACATTCGTTTTCAACGTTTGCAAGAGCTTCACAGATTGAGGGCGGGTCGTTTTCAAAGTGGGGCTCTCACCTCAGCGCCGCGCACATTCGTTTTCAACGTTTGCAAGAGTTTCGCGGATTGAAGGCGAGTGGTTTTCAGAAAGTGGCTCTCGCGTTAGCGCCACGCACATCCGGTGTAAACAATTGCAAGAGATTCGCGGATTGAGAACGGATCCTTTTCGAATTGTGGTTCTCGCTTTAGCGCCGCGCACATTCTTCTTAGAGTTACGATGATTCGCGGTGCTGAAGTCTCAGGAACAGTTTTCTGGTACGGTTCAGGATCGTCAAGACGCAACTGTCAAGTTTGTCCGTGGCGTTGGGATACCGAGAATAATGTTTTGGCATGGTTGAGGGTGTTCAAACCGTGTCTTCCAACGAGGCAGGTCCCTCTGTGGAAATGAACCGTTGTAAGTGCCTATGGCCTATGAAGATGGAGCATGGGGGAGGGTTTGTTCCAACATCGTTGGTGACTTTTGGGTTTACACTGGTCCTCGTCCTCCTCCTCCTGCCTCCACCTTCCCCTCCTGCCTCCTCATCATCCTGCCTCCTCCCCCTCCTCCTCCTCCTCCTCCTTTCTTGTCCTGTCTCCTCCTCCTCCTCCTCCTTTTCCTCCTCCTCCTGAAGGTGCCTCTCAAGCAACTTGGGCCCGAGTTGTTGGGCCCATCCCGTGGGTTTCCGAGGAGCGATTGAGGGACTTTGTCCGTTCTACACTGCCAGGATAGAACGTACATCGACGAACACACGGGATAGCAATGGCTGCGGAGCAGAAGCGTTGGACCCGATGTGACAATTGCAACAGGTGTGAGTGGAACACTATCTTGTGTCGCCAGAACCTCGTCTGCAGTGGATGCAAAGTCAAAGTCAAGCTGTTCCGCCCGAGGAGACGTGTCCAGTTCGACGAGAGTCAGGACGAAGACGGTTTCTACGACGCGGACAGCGGCAACGAGTCAGAATCGGTTCCAGGTCAGCCACTTCCAGCAGGCATACTGCGGCGGGCGTCTTCCCCGAACCGTGCAGGTGGCAAGGGCTACAAGGAGGGTGGCGACGCGCAGTATCACCTCCGCCAGGCGCTGGCGGCGGTCAGAGCTGGGCGTGGTCGAGGCGCTGCGTCGCGCCGACGGCGCCAAGCGCAACGCTGAGCACATACATGAACAAGCAGTTGCGGCAGTACTACGCATACGCAGCAACCTGGCGGCTGCGGAGGCGAAGGAAGCTACGGCCGCCATCAACCTAGCGAAGGCTGTGGAAACCCGCAAAGTGGCTGCCCTCGCAGCCACAGAGGCGGAGGACCTCGGCGGAGCACCACAGGCGGCGGAAGCTAGCGAGAAGAAGATACTCAACGTGGAGTGGGACGAGACGTTCTTCGGCAGCATCGACGGTCTCGACGCAACCCCCGAGGAGAAGGCTGCGTTGCTCACGCTCAAGCAGCAGATCCAGGGGGTGCAGGCCCAGTTCCAGGAGAAGGAATCCGAGCTGCAGAAGTGGCTCACTGACATGCAGGAACATCGTCGCATCATCGAGGAGAGGGCCGCTAAGAAGCGCAAGGCGGATAACGGCAAGAAGCAGCAGGATGAGCAGCCGATTGCCGAGGCCCCGAAGGCGAACCCAGCAGCAGGAGGAGCAGGAGCCGAGGGCCCTTCTGGCCCAGCCGCGGCGACGGCGACCAGCCAGGCTACGTCGGCTCCTGAGGGCTCCACCGCCAACGTCAACGAGCAGCAGCGCATCGCTGAGGAGGCCAAGAAGTTGTCGGAGGCCAAGTTCGCAGCGGCTGCCATGGCCACCAAGGCCAAAGGCAAGGGCACTGCAGCCTCGGCCTCGGCCACTGGTGGCGATCAATCACATTGACTAGGGGCACCAGGTCAGTCTCGACCCGTACAAGTCGAGGCACAAGGGGAGACAGAAGCTATAACCAGGGTCTTTTATGCTAATATCACCTGTCTGCCTGACAATGGGAAGGTGTGGAAGTTTGTGGAACCAAGTCCAGGGAGCATTCGTAGTTCGGCCTGTCGGTGACTCATGCGCATTTGAAGTCTGAGCTCAGGAATGTTGACAGCAAGGGCCGCCAGCTACGACTCCGATGTTACCACAATGCTGCGCGACTCTCTGGCAAGCTAGTCGGTAAGAACCAGACGGCCCGCTCAGACGAAGAGGGTGGGTTCTTCATAGCCCAAGCGCATCCCCAGGCTCGGAAGCTGGAGGATGCGCATGTTGCGTCCAAGCATCTTCGAGACCCGCGCCAAACAGTTGTGGATGGGTTTCTTCCGATGGTGCTCAATGTTGCAGGTTACTCGCTGGTTTTTATCCTACTGTACGGACGCCCATCCACCCAGGTGCGCGGCAAGAACAGGTTACGGCCCCAGAGGATCGGAGCCTTGGTCAAGGCGCTGAAGACGCCGCGGGCGCTGTGCGGGGACCTCAACATGACCCCAGGCGTTCTCACCAAGTCGGGCTTCCCTCAGCAGCTGGACGCAGTCATCCGCACTGCGGGCGTGGAGGGGGCCTGCAAGCAGAAGAAGGGCAAACCAGACACCATGATCGACTACCTGGTACGCAGTCGCTCTTCTCTGCCTTTCATGCGCGGCATCCTGCCCGCGCGAGCGGCCCCGTGGCGACCTCGCATTGGTTTGGAGATATGTTTCAGAAGTTCAGGGCTTCTTTCGCTGACGCGGGCGCTGAATCTCCCGAGGAGGCTCCCCCAGGCAGCGAGGCCCAAGACGGAGCCCACGCCTGACTCCAAGTCATCTCGCGCCAGGCTGGAGCGAGCAGTGGCCCGAGCCTCGGCGCAGGAAGAACGTTCTCTGATGTGCGAAGCATGGGCTGGGGATTGCATCCCTCGCGTCGAGCAGCCTCGAGACCCAAATTTTCTCGACGCGGCACATGCGTCTAATGAACGGGATTGCGAGGCCGCTGATCCTGATTTGGCCCTCGTGCTCGGCGAGGAAGACCCGTGGACAGATGAGCTTAACTTTTGTGGTTTGGACCCCGCCCCTTCAACTGCTTCGGAGGCGTCTGCGGGGCTGTCGTCGTCGGGGCCGTCGGTTGGCGGTCCGTCTGGGGCTCCTGGGCCCGTCGGGGCCCCCCTCGGGGCTGTTGTCGGGGCCCCTCCTGGCGGTTCGGCCCCAAAGCAGGTGGTCGAGGGCTTGGGGGATTCTAGGCAGCGTGTGCAATCCATTAGTGCTAGGTCCAAGGTGCCCCAGGTTCCCGACCCCCACCTATCCTGGGAGACCCCCCGACGCCCATTTGATAGTAGCAAGGCGTGCTCGAGATGTGACCCTGATGTGGCGGACCCTGTCTGCTTTACCATCCCAGATGAGGCGTGGTCCAACGCCGGACGTGACGTAGGTTTTATGCCCAGTGATCTCACGTCGGCTTTGGTCTCGCCACATCCCCGCTCCTCTATAGCATTTTGGCTTAACCCGGCTGGGTGCCCTTCGGTCTCAAGCTTGCGCGCTTCCTGGGCCACAGCGGCCGAGACCAGCATCCTGTCTCATCACGGTCTACAGGCTACCCCTGGGCCTTCGCGCGCAGCGGGGCCCAGTGTTTCTGTCCTGTCGTTGCGGCAGGCGCTACGCATACGTGAATTGCCACTTCGCGATCAAAGGAGTCAGCGGTGGATTAGAACACACACAGTTCTCACAGGCCTCCAAGGCCACAGGCAGAGAGGCAACGGCGATAAGCATATTCAACAGTTCGTCTCGGCGTGTTTGTGTCTCCACGGGTCTCGTCCGACGGGCGCGCGTTTGTTGATCAAGGCTGACAGAGATCCCACTTGGGACCACTGGTTGGCCATCCCCCAGAACCCGCTCTCTGTCACGATCGAGAACTTTGCTTTGCATGTTGTGTCACCGCAGAAGATCATGGAAAGGGCCCAGCGGGCCTCGTTGCATGAGTCGCTGCAGGAGTTCAAGAAGTGGGTTTCTAACGACAAGTCTTCTCAAGGTATTCTTCACCGGGCGTTGAAGCCCCAGCCGCCCCCACGACAAGAGATAATTGCGGGAGCAGAGGTCGCATTCCATCCCAAGGACCTGATGGATGTCAAGCAGACGGAGTTCACCAAGTTGTGGGCCCCAGTGCCCATGGACAAGCAGCTGGCGATCGAGACGTTTCGCGTCATTCGGGAAGGCGCTGTGTCCAACGTGCCGGCGCCCATCCAAGCAGAAGATATATATATATATATATATATATATATATGCCACGGCAGCCAAAATGTCGGCCCGAGCGGGCCGCGGGGTGGACATGTTCACGCCAGTGGACTTCCAGAGGCTGCCGCGGAGTGCAATTTCATAGATGGCCTCGATCCTCCAGTCAATAGAATCCACGCTCGCTTGGCCAATTCAGTTGATGATGGTTCTGTGTCGGCTCATTCCGAAGAAGCAGACTGGAGATCGTGCCATCGGTATTCTCACGATGGTGGCGAGGCTTTGGTCGCTGCTGCGTGAGCCGCTGGTCAAATCATGGTCATCCCAGAATATTGCAGCATGGGGTGCGGCCGTCGAGGGCAATTCCAGTTTAAGAGAAGCCCACCCCCGGGCCATCGATGAGGAGATGGCGCATGCCATGAAGATGAATTTCGGGCACGCCATCATAGACGTGCATCAACTTTACGGTTCTATCCCGTGGGATATGCAAGCAAGAGCGGCTCTCAAGGTGGGTCCCCCGCCAATTATTCTTTACTTGGAACTTGTTCAATGCGTGATGTGCAGGTGCCTCATTCAAGATGGCGCCTCGTCAGTTCCATTTGAGCCAAGTCATGATACAGTGCAAGGATTAAGGTATGGTACTAGGTTTGCAAGAATCATGACATATTTCTTCATGCATACAGTTACGTCATCAAGCCCGCGTATGGGGCACCAAATTTGGATAGATGCTATTTCGCAGACAATCACGGGATCGGCCAAGTCAGTTCGGCAAAGTCTCATCCAAGTGATCGTTGACACTGGCAAAGCTTTAGCCAGGAGGAAGCTCAAGATGTCTCCGAAATCGGTCGTTATGTGCACTAAGATGGAGGACGCCACAGCAGTGGCGAGGGCGGTGCGACTCCGCGGTTTCAAAGTGGTTGCGGTGAAACAGTCAACTCACTTGGGTATTGATTTCAGTTGCGGCCGCCATGGCCGCGGACAACGTGTCAAAAGGAATGATAAGCACAAGCAGATGAGCGACAAAACCCAGAAGTTCGCGAGGGTCGCCAAGCAATATCGCCAGGTATCTAAGTTGGAAAAAGTTGGAGCACAACCAGCGGCATGTTACGGCTTCCAGGTGCACGGCACGTTCGGGCAACAGCTCACAGAGTGTCGCAGGGGATTGGGGGGCCTCATGCGCGCCAGCTACCAAGGGACGCTGCCTCACCACGCTGCTCGACTTGAGGGCAAGCAGCATGGACCCAGCAGTTACGATGGCTACGCGAACGACCGACCTTTGGCTCTCAATGTGGCAGTCGCATCCGAACTTGAGGAAAAGCATCGCGCATGTTTGGCCGACAGTGGTCGCTAGAATGCAACAACTACCCCCTCGGGAGCAGACACGCGCTGTTCAGGGTCCTATATCAGCGGTGGCCCTCCAGCTTCTGAGGATTGGATGGGCCCCCACGCCCCCGTCAGCGCGGTCGTACATCAGCCCGCAGGGAACTGAAGAACAATGGCAATTTCCCGACACTTGCTACACGGGGGCCAAGGACTTGGACAGCCACGCGCCCCAGCTCTAGGACGCCAAGGAAGCAGCTCACAGGACCCTGTGGCGCAAGGCCAGCCAACATTGTTGTGGCTCTGGTATTGAAGATGGTGTCAGCAATGTTTCGCTACGACAGTTGTTGGATCGCCTTGCACAGCAGCGACATGGATCACGTGTATCGGAAGTCATGATACATATTGCAACAGGAGGGGCATGGACCAAACAACGCAAGCGGGACACCTTACCTCGGCATTCTGGCGACGGGCTGCGTGATCGTTGCTGTCAACACGACGGGACCCCCTTGCATGATTTTGGACATGCCCCAAGAATGTTGGTCCCAAGGTAGATTCGTTTTCAGATTCTCTAGTGCCAAAAGCCCTGGCGCAGTCCGAAGCGTGCGAGGCGTATTGGCTCCGAGGCTTGCTGCCCCAACATATGGTTGCAGTTCCTCCTCCTCCTCCTGATCAACCTAGTTGGTGGCGCGCAGGCTTCGACCAATTGGAGCCAGGCTGTATGGGACACGGCTCGGACCGCAGCCCTGTGTGGATATTGGGAGATGCTAGCGGAGGTCCAGACACCCACTCGCCCATCATGCGTAGAGTGGGCATTGCATCCGTACGAATGACAAATCTCCGAGTTCCAGAGGCAGCGTCTTGCATTGCTGGGCCTTTGACAGGCCCTAGACAAGTCGTGGCTCGAGGAGAGTTGGTCGCTTTTCCCCTGGCCGTCACGCACACTCGAGGATCCCTCGCGTTCGCCACTAACTGCGATTCTTTTGTTGAAGGTTGGTATGCATCCAAAGTGGACAATCCCATAGGCCAGGACGCGGACGTTTGGAATCATATTGCCCAAGTGTCGGAAGGTAGACAGATTGCAGTTCTATTCGCCCAGTCTCATTACACGGCCGAGCAGATGGCAGCAGGTCAGGGATGCTGTGTTTTGATTGTCGGTAATGCTGTGGCTGACGAGCTGGCAGGATTTGCAGCCATCTCGGCCAGAGTTCCTGAACATATACGAGCACGTGTACTGCAGGAAGAACACCAGGTTTTTCAGATACGCATGAGGTTGCTCAGGGCAACGCTGGACAGTACGGCGGCGATGGAGGCCGCGGAGACCGAGGCCAGGAACATGAGAGGGAAGGCTCCCGCCGTCCCTCCTCGTCCTCCTCCTCCCTCTGCCAGTGCAGTTGCTGCGTCTCTGTCGGGTCACGTTCTGTCTGAGGACCGCCAGAGATGTCTCAAATGTTGTTGTTCGGTTTCGAAAGCCACCATGGAAGCGCGGTGGACCACGCAGATAACGTCGACGGGGTTATCAAGTCCCCGAAGGTGGGTGAACGTATTCATATAGCGGGGGCTTGGGCGCACCAATCTCACACTCTTAATGTGCATGCGCCCCTGTTAACCTGGTTCTGCACCAAGTGTGGAGCCATTGCTGATAAGCAGAATATACTTCTTAGCAAGCAATGTTCGGGTAGGATCAATAAGAATCGGCAAGAATACCCGGGTCGGATAGCTGCCCACAGGAAGCCGAAAGTCCTCAGCCAGGCCGAGCAGAAGGCCAGGCGGTCGAGCGCTATGTAATCCGATGCTCATGTCACTAACTTGCTTTGCGCAACGGGCTCCACTCCACTCCACTCCTCCTGCAGGTGCCTTACTTCGACCTTGGAGCTGGAGGTTGGTCCCAAGGACCCCGCCTTTAGCTCGGTGTTTTCGATGTTGGATTCTTGGTGCCAGGTAGCTTCCAGGGTCTCGGATTTTGCTTTGCCCAGAATGCACAAATGCTGGAGCGAGACTGTCCAGAGAATCCGGACCCTGGGGCCCAAGCGCCGATGGCACAGTATCAAAAGCCCATTTCGGCGGTCGCTGCCACGACGCTGGGTCTGGGGCGGTCGCTCGAGGGGCCTTGGAACTGGACAGCGCCGTCAGGATACAGGTTTGCTATCCCTGATGAGCTTCGGTCGGAGGCGTATATGACCTCGGATGTTAAGCAGGAAGTTGCCAACTCGATCGAGGCCCAGCTGTAGGCAGGCGCTTCCAAATTCAGGAACGGTCACGGCGCAGAGGCAGACATTGATTTCATTGTCGCGCGGCGTCATATGTCCAGCCTGAAGAAAAAGGATGTCAAGCAGGCTGGCCTGCTTAGGGCTATTCTCACTGGTGCAGTCTGGACCCGCGCCCGCATCATCAGCGCGGGCGGGGAGTGCGATGAGTTGTGCCCGCGCTGTGGAGTGTCTTCCTGGCGTCGCCTGGGCCTTCTGGGGCCTCCTGGGGAAGGACTCGCTGGGACCTTCAGGGTATTCCTGGGGCATGCCATGCATGTTTCGCTCGGGCTGGCTACCTTGACTCCCTCCTCCTTCTCCTCCTCTCCTCCTCCTCCTCCTCCTCCTTTTCCTCCTCCTCCTCTTCGGAGACACCCGAAAACCTCCATCCTCAATCGTCGGCGGCGAAGATTGGATTACTGTTGCAGCTCCCATGGAGGCACACGTATCAGACGAGCGTGTGTGGCATGACCAGCCTCAACCATGCCCGCGCTTCAACCACGCGAACAGGGATGGATCAAGAGCGGCCCGCACCCCACAGTATGCCGATGGCAGGGAAGCAGGTGGGAATGCGATGGTCGACGAGAATGTTCAACATGCTCGGCCCCGGAGGCCCTTTTCGGGCTAAGGGACCGTGAGAAATCGATCCACGGTGGCAACACAAAACAGGATAGACCTTGGAAAGGTAGTCGGTGACCTAGACGGGCGGCAAAGCGGGCCAGGTGGAGGAGGAGGAGCAGCAGCAGGAGGAGAAGAGGAGAAGAGGAGGAGGAGGAGGGGAGCAGGAGTAGGAGGAGGAAAGGCAGGCTGAAAATGGGGAGGAGGAGGAGGAGGAGGAGGAGGAGGAGGAGGAGGGAGGAGGAGGAGGAGGAGAGGAGGAGAGGCAAAGGAGGCAAAGGAGGAGGAGGAGGAGGAGCAGCAGCAGCAGCAGGAGGAGAGGGAGCAGGACGAGGAGGAGGGGCAGGTTCAAAATGAGGAGGAGGAGGAGGAGGAGGAGGAAGAAGAAAACAAGGAGGAGGACCTCGCTACGCGCCAAGAGGAGAGGGAGGAGCACGGAGAGCTGGCGGCCACCGATCCTCCAGAGAACGACGGGGGAGCCAGCGGCCGGCCCGCCGCAGGCCCATGCAGGAGTTTTGCTACTGGGCCTTTTGGGTCTGGAGGCGGCCCGCCCCCCCTCCGCCCCCCCCTCCTCCCCCTTTTAACGCCTCCTCCTCCTCCTCCGCCTCCTCCTCCTCCTCCTTTTCCTCCTCCTCCTCCTCCTCCTCCTCCTCCTGCCTCCTCCTCCTCCTCCCCTCCTGTTCTCCTCCCCCCTCCTCCTCCTCCTCCTCCTCCCCTCCTCCTCCTCCTCCTCCGCCTCCTCCTCCTCCTCCTTTTCCTCCTCCTCCTCCTCCTCCTCCTCCTCCTCCTCCCTCCTCCTTGCTCCTCCTCCTCCTCCCCTCGCCTCCTTCCTCCTCCTCCTCTTTCCCCCCTCCTCCGCCTCATCCCATCCTCCCTCCCGCCTCCTCCCTCCCTCCTCCTTCTCCCCCGCTCCTCCCTCCTCCCTCCTCCCTCCTCGCTCCTCCTCCCCCTCGCCTCCTCCCTCCTCCCTCCTCCTCCTCCTCTCCCTCCTCCCTCCTCGCTCCTCCCTCCTCCCTCCTCCCTCCTCTCCTCCTGGCTCCTCCGCCTCCTCCCTCCTCCCACCCCCTCCTCCCTCCTCCCTCCTCCCTCCTCCCTCCTCCTTCCTCCCACCTCCCTCCTTCCTCTCCCTCCTCCTCCCTCATCCCTCCTCCTCCTCCCTCCTCGCTCCTCGTTCCTCCACCCTCCTCCCTGCCCCTCCTCCCTCCTCTCGCTCCTGCTCCCTCCCTCCCTCCTCCCTCTCCCTCCCTCCTCCCTCCTCCTCACTCCTCCTCCTCCTCCTCCTCCTCCTCCTCCTCCTCCTCCTCCTCCTCCTCCACCTCTCCTCTTCCTCCTCCTCCTCCTCCTCCTCCTCCTCCTCTCCTCCTCCTCCTCCTCCTCCCCTCCTCCTCCTCCTCCTCCTCCTCCTCCTCCTCCTCCTCCTCCTCCTCCTCCTCCCCCCGTGCCGAAGGCCAGCCGCAGCCCTCTGGGTGACACTGGTGCGGGACGCATGGGGCGCCGGTAACGGAGGGCGCAAGGCGCACTCCCGAAGAGCACCCGCACCAGCACCTTCAGGGTTAGGCAGCCAGGGCGACACCTGCCATCCCTCTTGCATCCCGCCACCGTCTGTCTTGCCTCGTGCGCTCCTCGTTTTCTCGTTCTCCAGCCCATCCTGGTTACCCCATTGATTTGCGTGAGCGGTGAAGCGCACGCGGCGGCAACGACCGCCTCCCCAACCCCTCGTGCACGCGCCAGACGCGCCAGGCACGCAGTCCGCCATCCGCTTATGGGCCTCTAGCCCCGAATCCTGAAATAGCACAGCTGGTGCTATCCCCTGAGCTGCCCCTGCCACGCGCAGGAACACCACGGCAGCATCTCTCATCCCATCGCGCTTCGTGCTCTCTTTCTCGCTCTCTCGCTTTCGCCCTCTCTCTCTCTCTCTCTCTCTCTCTCTCTCTTTCTCTTCCGCTCCCGCTCTCCCGGCGCCGCTGCTGCTTTCTCCTCCGCTGCCGTCCGTCCGGCTTCCTCGACCATCCGGCTTTCCCAGAGACTCACGCATCTTGATCAAAAGCCAGGTGTTGTTGATTATCATGCCGTTCGTGGCAATATCATGCCAATCTTCTTGATACAATATCATATCACGTGAATCAGTGAGCGCAGGTTTGGGCCCATGCGTCACCCGAGGCTTTGAATTGATCAAGGCGCCGCACTTGTGCGCCCCCCGCGCGGGCGGGAGGAAGAGGCACCTACACCTGGGGGTGGGGGCCTGGCGGGGGCGGGAGCCTGACGGGGAGGGGGAGCTTGACGGAGCCTTACACCTCCCCATGGGGGTGGGAGCCTGACGGGGGTGGGAGCTCGACGGACCCTTGCACTTCCCCCTCCCTCTAGGGGTATGGGGTGTCCCACAACGGCCTCGCCCGTCCTCCTACACACTAGATCGCTCGCGATCGGCTCCTGCCGACCGCGACGGAGCTTCTCGTAGTCATGCTCTCTGGGCGACCCTGGCAGCGGCGCCGCCAGCGGCCGCCGTTCGGGAACCGAGATTTGCTGGGGTAGATTGTGATGGTGCGTCCGCCTGGCGCGGTCACGACCCGAGATACGCTGGGGTAGAAGCCGATGGTACACCCCCCCGGCGCGGTCGGGAACCGAGATTCGCTGGGGTAGAATCCGATGGTGCACCCGCCCGGCCCGGTCGGGAACCGAAATTCGCTGGGGTAGAATCGGCCGTGTGGGCTTGGGCGTCCGAGTGGAAGAGGGGGGAGGGAAAGGAGGGGGAGGTGGGGGAAAAAGGGGAGGAGAGGTCATGCGCCAAGCATGGTCAGGTCCTGCCTAAACAGGGCTGCCACGTGAGGCATGCCTATCTTGAGTCTAACCTCTCCTCCTCCTCCTCCTCCTCCTCCTCCTCCTCCTCCTCCTCCTCCTCCTCCTCCTCCTCTCTCCTCCTCCTCCTCCTCCTCCTCCTCCTCCTCCTCCTCCTCCTCCTCCTCCTCCTCCTCCTCCTCCTCCTCCTCCTCTTATGATGTTCCCCCTCCCGTCTTCCTCACCTGCACACGCACGCTCGTTCGTGTAGTTGGTGCACACCACGTCGTCCCCGCATCCATTCATCCCCTCTCTTGTTTCTCTCCCCTGGTCTTCTCTTGCCTTACTTTCCGCATGCACGCTCGATCGAGGAGTGGTTGTGCCCCACGTTCAACGCTTTGCCTCCCGCGTTGGTCGAACCCGGCGACGCCGGGAGCGGGAAAAAGGGGGTTGAAGGGGGGGGTAGGCTTCGAGGTGTTATGACACGTCGGACTCGACTTTGAAAGCTGAGAGAACGCCTGGCCCCAGCCAAATGGGGACTACGGAGTCGAGCACTTCAGAGCGGGGCAAAGCTGGTCCCCAAAGGAAGCGTTAGGGCACCCGTTGTTCTTCAAAGGCAGCAATAAGGTTCATACACTCCTTCCGTCCGCCGGCCGCTTGCGCGCTTGCTGACCCCTCCGCCCGCACACCATGTTCGTCGCAGGCCATGGCAAGGGAGCTGCGGCCAAGCAAGGCCAGTTCAAGGGCAAGGGCAAGGGGAAGGGCAAAGGTGACAAAGGCAAAGGGGGGAAAGGCGCGGCCTACCCAACGGCCCCGCCGCGTGCAGGCGGCTTCTGCACCGTCATGGGGTGCACCGGCCGGCTCATAGGCACTGGCGAATCTCTCATCTGCAGCCGGAGCCCCGCGTGCGGCTTCACGCAGACGCACGCGGTCAAGGAGGAGCCGGTTGAGAAGGCCGTCCCTACCAAGGCCCCGGCCCTCCAGAACCGGCTGGGCTCGGCACCGGAGGCGAGGCCGAGCGTCGCTCCATCTCGCCCCCCAACGCCTGCGGCCCCCAAGCGGCCTGCGAGCCGGCCTCCTGGGGACCAGCCCCAGCGCAAGGCGCCACACACGTGGCAGGAGCAGTTCGACGACACTCCGCCATGCAAGGGGGAAGGCGGGGATTTAAACCGCTTTGGCCTTGCCCAAGCCGAGGTCATGTTCTGGGAGGACCACGTCCCGCGCGGGTCCGTTGAGGCACAGCCCAAGCTCCTCGCCGCCAAAGAGAAGCTAGAATGCATCAGGCGCGAGGAGTTCCTCAGCATGACCCCGATCCAGCAGGTTGAGAACCTCAAGGCCATAATCTCCAAGGAGGAGGCTTCCCTCTCCGACGATACTGACCAGTTCTCGCGGCTCAGCGACCAGATCGATTCACTATGCGACGACCACTGTCGTCTGGGCCAGCGGATCCAGGACAAAGTGAACATCATTAAGAACCTCCAGGAACAATTGCGCACCACCACTCTACTTGCCACACCCGCACCCGCTGCGGCGGCGGCTGAGGCGCCCGGTGACCCGACCATGCAAGATACCATCGAGTACATCAAAGCGCATCCGGACGTGAAGCTGGACAGCCTCACCCCCGACGAGGCCAAGGAAAAGGCGCGTGCCTTCCTGATTGAGAGGGCCTCCCCCAAGGCCGACGCCACGCCCCCCCTGGTTGGCCCCAAGGCGCCCTTCGCGGGGAAGGTTACCTGCATCAACGCCTCCCAGGACGCGGTCGCTGCAGCGCTTGAGTCCCGCCCGAAGTTCGACGGGGAAGCCCTCCCCGGAGCCAGCGAGAGTGCCGCGCTCCGCCCTCTCAGCGGCGCTGGCGGGGCGGCTGGGGGGGCCGGTTGCGAGCCCGCTGCCGAGCCCGCTGCCGAGCCCGCTATGGACGCGAACACCGAAGCGCCCGCGGCGGGGGCTGCCGCTGGCGCTCCGCCCGAGGGGCAGGGCCGCGCGGCGGACGCGGTGGACGACGGGCTGGGCGGGTAACACCAGCCGCCGCCCAGCAGAGACCAGTGAGTACCAAGTTTTGTCCTCGATGGTGCTCCCTGACTCAGCTATCAATTTTCCAATGTGCACCTTTAAGGGGGACTCCTGGAGTTCCGTCCGGCCGCTTCTCGAGAGAGGCAGGTTCAACAACTGTCGCGTGTTATTTTTGCAGGAGACCCTCTTGGTCTCAGACCATAACCTAAAGCTTGCTGCAGAGGCGTGCAGACGTCTCGGGCGGCACCCAGTTTTTGCACCCGCTTGCAGATCAGACGCCACCCGCCCCCAGGGCGGCGTCGCCATCCTAGTGCGCCAAGGCGGTGATGTCGGCATCTCTCCCCTCCCTTCCTTTGTCTCCCAGCCCCCCGACGCCTCGCGCCTTGCGGGGGCCAAACTGGATCTCCCATGCTGTGCCCCAGTCATTCTCGTTTCGCTCTACCTCCACCCGGTGGTCAAGCTGAATTCCGCCAATCGGGCCCTCCTCAGCCACCTCGGCATCATCCAGCACCAATGCGCCATGGCCCTCATCGTAGGCGGCGATTTCAATCTCAACCCTTCCCTCCTCTCCAGCACAGATTTCTGCGAGCGCAGCGGCTTCCACATTGTGGCCCCGCACCAGTGCACGTACTTTACCAAGAAAACTAGATCCAACATAGATTTCTTCTTAGTTTCCCGCGGCTTGGCTCCGCTGGCCCCAGGGGTCTGCGTCGACCAGTCTGTCAAGACAGCAGCGCTGGCGGGCCACAGGCCCATC